CCCAAATGAACCCAGGAACTAATAAATCACCCAGACGACTGCAGAATGGGCTCACTGGGAGCCAAGATCGTTCCTAAGCAGGTGAGTCAGATGGAGTCTGTATAGGGAACCAATAGCCAACTCTCCACCCATATCTCAGCTCCCATTAGAAACCTCTCTCCTTGGTGAGCTGTGATATTAAATCGAATCAGATTGCATCCTAACTTGGTTTCATACTTTTGTATGCTCTGCTTTTTTGCACTTTCTAAAGGATATTTATTTATGCTTAAAATGCTACTTTATCAGTTTTCAGCTCTCTCTCTCTCTTTCTGTGTTTGTCTGTCTGTCTCTCTCACTCTCTCTCTCACACACACATACACACACACCCCTTAAATTTCCTCATGTTAGGTTAACCAGATAACTTCTTAGAATTTACCCTCCCTCTGCAGTAATACCTGCAAAAGACAGTTGTTCCTGTATAGCTGGTGGAGTAGAGATTTCTTGTCTAAAATTCTCTTATGAAGGTGGTTCATAAGAGAATGGCGCTCCATTTAAGTGCGATACCAGTATTTTTTCTTTTAAATCATCCTTGGCCTTTGGCTTAAAATTTTCCATCTTAAATAAATAATGGATACTCAGTATAATTATTGAATCCTGAAAGGAAATATAAACTGATTGGTATATCATTCACCTAATATCGTTTTATGGAAAAAAGTGTTTGAACCCATCCAGGGCTCCAAGGCAGTGATGCTTCAACCAGTGCTTCCCAGCCTTTTTACATGTCATGTTATGTCATTTTTGTGTGTTTTAAGGTACAAAGAAGGAGCATCTGATGGCTGAAGTCTCTAGGTCTGAACACTTGTGCAGTGAACAGACAGTGTGCCTTTGTGCCTGGTTCATAAACTCTGGTGAAGAAACCAAGCTTGGTGCAGCCCTGGAATAAAGGGTATTCAACTTGGGAAAGCCTTGAAAACCCTGATAAAGGACAGGGCAGGATCTGGATAATTCTAGGCAGTGAGTAAATCAGGAAATATCTCAATCAATGGGACAATGAATAGGAGCGAGGAGGTTCCCCAATGACCATTTTCTTCCCCCCTACTATTCAGTACTGTTTCTGTGCAAAGCACTGGCATCGTACTAGATGCCAAAGTGTGTAAAACATCAGATAGGTCCCTAATTTTTAAGTTAGGGAAACTACTGAAGAATTAATATAAGAGAGAGATTTAATTTGATCTACAGCTACATTTTGAGAATCAAGACGGGCAAAATAGAATCTACAGACACTAGGATAGGAAGTACATGAGACTTCTTGGAGTTAAAGAATTAGCCACCTATTAGAAAGGACAAAAAATAATAATTACTGATGGATTTTGGTACTCTCTTAAGTTAATTTGAGAAACACATATTTTCCTCAATATACTTTGTTCAGTAGATATATAAATTTTTCACCAGTAGTTTAAATAGGAATGAATATGCAATTTTTGTATGTTATAAATATTGGCATTTAAGAAAGTCATACACGTCTGTGTATGTGTATATGTGTGTGTATATATAAGTGAATATATATATCCCTAAAGCCAAAAGTACTATATATTTAATATTAAATGCATTTTACTATTAAGAGATTAAAATAACCTACAGTTTTTCAATTGTGATGAATAGTAATTAAACAGACTTAACTTGTATTTAAAACTTGTCCTGTTAATGAGTCATATTTACAGTTTCTTGATGAAAAGAGTGATCCTAATATCCAAATTGATTAAAACCCAAAATATTTTTACACCTTGAAGCAAGAAATTGTAATAAGATTCCTGATGAATAAGTATGCCTCTCATTGGTGAAATGGGAGAATAGTGAGTTTTGAAAGGTGAAGACAAAAAAGAACAGAAGAGCATAGATACCTTTTAAGATAAATTATTTTAAGAAAGGAGCAGACAAAGAAATGGAGGAACCAAACATTGATTTTCTTAAAACTGTTCTTGTCCACTTAACCCTTGGTGAGTCTTTTATATGAGCAGAAATAGACATGCTCCAATTTAAATTCCACTGTTCAAACATAGGTTAAGCAAACAAAACCAAAAGTAAAATAAGTAATTTTGAAAATATGGCTGAGATCTACCTGTCATTCTAATCACTGATTTTTTTCTTTAGGCTACTGGTTCTCAATCATGGCTATACAATAGAATTGCCTGGGGAGCTTTAAAAATGCTAATATCTGGGAGCCCCTCAGATTACGTTGGTAGGGGGTGCCTGGGCATTGGGGTGTTAAAAGCTGCATGGGTGAATCCAGTATGTAGGGAAGTTTGAAACAAAACTGTCTTTAGAAAAGATGCAATGAAGCAAGAAACATCAGTGCTTATTAAAGAAATCTTCGGTTAAAATAGATTAATGATTTTATAAATTTCTCTAAAAATTGACAGAGATGTGGAAATGATTGAATAAATGCTGAGACTTTGGGAGGGTTACTACTAAAAGTGAAAAACTGGAGGCTAAGAAAAAAAATTACTTTTAAAAAAATAGAAGAATTGATAAAGTAATCTAGAGAACTGTAAGGTAGATGCAAAATCATAAATGCTGTACTTTCTGTGCAATTTTAACTAATTTTGCAGGTAATTGTATTTTATTTTTAAGTTTATAGAATTTAGAATTCAAACTCCAGCTTGGTATGCAACTCCACTATAAATTTTATTTTTCTACTGTAATGTGATGCTTAAATATTTCACTTCAGTTAATAGTAAATATTCACTATAGTTAATGTTCTCATCAATCCATTTATCTTCTCATATGGTTCTCTCTGATTTGGTTTGACATGTACTTTGGAACCACTACAGACCTTGAAGTTATATAAAAGTAGTAACGTCGGAAGTTCTAATACTCAGATGCCCTTCATTAAGTAAAAGAATTATAGTAAATTATAAATAAACCTCTTCCCTGACACCATTTTTCAGTGAAGGTCATCTACTTTACTTCCACATTGTGTGGTAGCCTCAGAATTATCCTCTAGTAGGGTTCAAATCATAACTTCACAGCTGGAATTGAAATAAAAGACTTTGTGAGAAAAATGTTGAGTATGTTAAAGTCCCATATGCAAGTCGGAGGTTCCTTAATTCTGAATATTCTCAAATGAAACAGCTATTTGCTGGATATGACAGAATTAGATACTCAAGTTTTTAAAATTTCAGGTGCCTGCAATTTCACCTTGACAAGTAGATGGAAAATTTATCAATCTTCAATAAACTACAGCTTTCATGTATGTCTTCACTAAGCTTTAAATATTTAGCTTGACACTGTAGCAAAATGGGTGCATCTGCTAGCCTTGTTCTACCATCCCAGTGACTGGTGCTGAAGGAGCAAACCACTATAATTTGGGCAGCATAGTGATGATCGGGAATATGGGCTCTGCAGGCCAACATATGCAGTCACCCTCATACTGTTCCATCCACACTCTGTGACTATGGCCACGAGTCTGGAGTTTTTCCACTGTCAATCAGAGATGATGGGAGAAAACCTTCTGCATTGAGTAAGTAAGAGACAATCTTAAGTTAATTCATGTATTGTACTAAGTAGAGTATTTTATAAGGACAGTGCTCAATTGCAACAGATAAATTAATATTAGTACTAACAAATTAAATTTGAAATATGAAGAGATTAGACATGATGCTTTCTCAAAGCCCCTTTCTTGTTTATATTCTATAGTTCTACTTTGTGGAATAAAGCCAGAAGCAAAAGTGAAACTCAAATAGGGTAATATTGAGCTTAGTAAGATTAGTCCTCTACTTCAGGGCTGGTAGAAACACTAATAGCTATAATTATTCTGAAAAATGCATCAAAAACTTCACCAACTGGTATGAATTTCCATAACACTTTTTACAACTGAATATTCTCATAGAATATGTTACTAAAGTACCACCAACTAGAGTAAGGTCTTTGGATATTTTAGGACTTTGAAATATATTGACACATATTTATGGGGAAAATATT